ATTGTTCTCAATAGCAAAGACATGGAATCAACCTACCTGCCCCTCAATGGTAGACTGGATAAAGAAACTATGGTACATATACACCATGAAACACTATGCAGTCATAAAAAGGAACAAAATCATGTTCTTTGCAGCAACATGGGTGCTGCTGGAAGCCATTATCCTAAACAAATTAACACAGGAACAGAAAACCAAATATGACACGTTCTCACAGATAAGTGGGAGCTAAACATTGGGTACATGTGGACAATGAAAACAACAGGCCCTGGAGGCTACTAGAGAGGGGAAGAAGGGATGAAAGCAAAGCAAGGGCTGAAAAACTACCTATTGGGTGCTATGCTCATGACCTGGGTGAAGAGATTCATTCATATCCCAAACCTCAGCATCACGTAATATTTCCATATAACAAAACTGCACATGTACCATCTGAATCTAAATGAAAGGTTGAAATTACATTTTTTAAAAAGACTGAAAAGCAGCCAGAATGCCCATACCACTGAATCTGGAGGAGAGGGGTAAGAGGTGGGACTGGAAAAGTAGGCAAGAAAGCAGATCAGGAAGGACTTTGGATGCTATGTAAAAACCATGAGATTTTCATCTTCAGAATGAAAGTAAGCCACTAAAGGGAAATTACACAGCCAACTCATATTTTTAAGAGTGCTCTGGCTGTAGTAGGGGAGAATGGGAGTAGATGAGGGTAAGCATAGCAGGAGAAGAATAATTAAGAGGCATTCTAGTGGTTCACCCTAGAGGCCATGATGCATATATCAGGATGGTGAGAGAGGAGATTTTAAAACACACATTCAAGTAACATTCAAGAAGCAGAATAGTCAGAATTGGTTGAAGTGTCAAGAACAAGCCTGAACAATTGGGAGTAGAAGATGGTGCCATGTACTGGAATGGGAAAGCTGGAAGAAAAGCAAGTGGGCCACTGGTAATGGCAGACTTGGCAGGGAGACGGCAGAAATAGAGTATTCTCTATGAGTTATTTTAGTTTAAGATACCTGTACATCATCCCAGTGCAAATTTCAAGTGAACAATTACACATATAGGTCTTATTCTTGGGAAAAGAAAAAAAAAGTTTTTATGAATTCAAGTACCATCAATAGCTTCATAACTAGAAAGTGTATGTTCTCCAAAAATCATGAAGAAAGAATGAGAAGAATCTAAAAACAGATGAGGGAGTTTTTTTAATTCAAGGGAATTTTTTAAATCATATGGCACATTCGTAAAATGTGTTTGCTGATAGGAGATGTCATATAGAGTGGGAAAGACTTCAGACAAGAAAGAGAAAGGAGACAAGTATGAACTGAGATATCTGAAAAGGAAGAACAGCATAAGATGCAGAGAACACCAGATGGGATTAACTTTGGGACAAGGTAAAACACTTTGTTACAACCGGAGGAAAGAAAGAGAAGACAGGGTGCTGCAATTTATATATACTTGTCTCCTTAGAGAGTAGCCTGAGGATACCTAAAATACCCTGCAAAAGACTGTGAACTTAGGACACACTTTCAGTTCACCTCTAAATCATATCATATAAACATTAGACTCCATCTGCCAAAAACCAATAGAGATTAGGGATGATCTCTACTATAAAACTCTGTGTGTAAAAATATATCTATCGACATGAGCATTTGGCTTAATATCTCCTTAAAAATTTTATTACCTTAATACCACTGAACAGGATTCTTTTAAAAGTAATTAATGAGAACTGATACATAAGAATGAGTGACTGCTGCATAAATAAATGAAATAGTTAATGAAATTAATGTGCATCTAGATATCCATATATCAAGCCAAGTCTGTATTTTACATATGAATTATTTGTAGCCATTCATTCATTCTCAAACAGAGATCAGTTCTATACTACAACATGGATGAAACTTGAGAACATTGTGCAGGGTGAAAAAATTCACTGCATGATTCCTTCTATATGAAATGTCTCAAGTAGGAAAATCTGTAGAGATGGAAAGTAGATTAATGGTTGCCTGTGGCTGGGGAAGATTGCAGACTAGGAAGTTATAACCTAAAGGGTATGGGGTTTGGGGGGGTAATCAAATGTTCCAAAATTAATTGCAGTAATTGCACGCCTCTGTGAAAACCATGAATTGAACACTTTAAATGGATGAATTTTATGGTATGTGAATTATATCACAATAAATCTCTTAAAAATTAAAGTACGTTTTGTACTGATATGAAATAATCATATCTTTCTGTACTAATATGGAATAATCACATGGAATAATTATATCTTTTAAAGCAAGGCACACATAGTGTACAGTTTGTAGTATTTATATAAAGGGAGTGGACAAAAATAAACATAATGTGTCCTTTTTTAATTTTTGTATATGCAGCATAGAATATCTTTGGAAAGTTAACAGAAGGAACCAGTAACATTGTCATTTTCAGGAAACAAAACTGGCTGGCTGGAAGACATAGGTAAAGGGAGAATTCTCAATGAGCAATCTTTTTCTCTTTGAATTTTGAACAAAGTAAATATACTACTTTAAAATATTTTTAAAAACTGAAATTAAAATTAGAAACTAGTCATAATTTTATTTGAAATAAAAATTTAAAAAGAAGCTCACACACGCACATACACATTTGTGTGTGTGTGTGTGTGTGTGTGTGTGTGTGTGTATCTTTTAGTCCTCATCAGACATGTAATTTTTTTTCTGCTGACAGCAATGTAAGAAATACAAGAAAGAGAATAAGTTGTGCAGACTTCTTATTTGACTTGGTTTTGACTTTGTTTCAATTGTCCCTTAATTTACATTTTGATATGTAATGTTTCCTTTTCATTTTATCTTCATATTTGCCATTTTTACATTTGGATATTTGTGAAATGCTTCACACTGTTGAATGTCTGTGGATATAGGAAAAATTTGACTCTGCCATTGGAATTAGAGTTCAGTATGATGTTTCAATTTGTTCTGACTTCAATTTTTGCTTGCTACATTAATATTAGGATAAAATCAAACTCCATTATCTGGCATAGATTACACTACTCTCTAGAAAGTTCTCCCTACTACCACTTTGCTGGTCCATAATCACTAGAGGCAACTTTCTGAAATATGGATTTATGGAAAGGCAAACAGAATTATAAACACAAAGAAAATTAGAAAACTATGAAAGATATATACTGAATAATCAATTCAATATCCCAAGAACTAATACTCAAAGATAGGAAATAAAGCAAATGGAAAATTTAGCTTGAGCATATTCCCATACACACTTTAGAAGCACAGAATATTTCAGAAGCATACAAAAATAGTTTCTTATATTTCCTTTTGATTCCTTTATATTTAATATAAGACTCTTTAGTTCATCTGGCATGGCATGACATGAAAACACAACAGGAATTTTATTAGCATATGGGTAGGCAACTATTCCAGTATAACTTACTGAAATGTAGTCTTTTCCTACTGTTTTAAAAGCCAACTTAATTACCAAGTAAATTCTCTTATATCCATGGGTCTGTTTCTGGACTCTATTTTGTCTCATTCAGTTTCCTCTCCTGCCTCTTCCTAAGACAATATCATACCAGCTTTATCTAGACCAACTCTCCCAAATTAATCTGTTTTTCAAATCTTTGCCAGTTGTATATGTGCTTTCCCTAAAAGTACTAGAATCAGCTTCTCACATTCTAATTTTTTTTAAATGTAAATGCAATTCTCACTACATTTGCTTGAATTTATAAATCCATGTGGGGGAGAATCTTTGTATCATTGTGACTTCCTGTATTTGTATGGCATTCCACCTATTTAGCAAGATTTTTAGGGGGTTTTTATTCATATGACATATGAATTTCTTCTTTATATCTAGTTATTTTATCTTTTTCTATCAAAAGTGGAATCTTTTGTCTATCACATTTTCTAATTGGTGATTGCTATTATACAGGAATGCTAGTGTTTATTGCATGCTAGTGTTGTTGCCAGTCATTTTACATAAATATTTTTTTTTCTAGAAAAAGAAAACAATGTAGGCTTACCAGTAATTGTTTTTCTGCTTCTTTCAAGTGACTGTGCCTTCTACCATATTTTTTTCATGTATTATTGCATTGTCTGGCACCTCCAGTAATAGAAATAAGAGTAGTCATTCACATTTTCTTCCTGACACTAATAGGAATGAAATTAACCTTTCACAGTTGATTATAATATTCTCTATGGCTTCTGGTAAATATTTTATATCCAGTTAAGAGAAATTTCCTCTATTTCTAGAATAAATTGTTGTTGAGTATTAACAGATATAAACTTATAAATGCTTTTTAAAAAATTGATTTGGGGTCTTTGAAAAACACTCTACAAAATCCACTTGATACTACCATGTAAACACTTTTTCTTCTGATAAGAAGCAGATGATTTTAACATACTGTGATTATTAACCTTTGCCCTTAGCTAAAAGATACAAATACTCTGTTCCACATTCAAGAGGAGGAAGCATATTTTCTACACCAAAAGAAAACAACAAAAAACATGAGATGCCTTCAAAAATCTTGTTTTAGACATCTGCTTATATTTCAAATTTCTTTACTTTAGATGCTTCTATAAAATAACAGAGATATTTTACCCTCAGTATCCCAAGTTTTCTGAGACTTGTAATTGGAAACCTAAAAAACCCATTAATTTCTATTTTGGTTCATCATCTCCTTCTTCAACCCACTAATACCATCTTTCTCTCTGCCCCACTGCCCTAGAAATAGTTTTCTCTGCTCACTCACACTTAACTCCCTAAAATATACAACACTTCCCCAATGCCCTGAAATGCTCTAGAACCTTGGACAGTCTGAGTATTTAAGAAGCCCTTACTCAGATAAAGAGACAGAGTAGTAAAGGCAGAGGCTGGCACTGCACATGACAAGGGGAAAAAAGAGAATAAAATTTATGTAGTCATTCTTGGTTCTTTATATACTGAATATTGTGCCTCATTATTATAAAAAGAAAGTGCAATCTTGGAGAAAAAGAGAGAGAGACTTCTAATTTTGTCTTACTGAATTATGTTAGTGTTTTTGTTTTGTTTCTGAGGTTCTAGAACTATCTTTGCATTCCTGGGGTTAAATCCTATTTAACTATAATTTGTGATTCTTTGGAAGCATAGGTACATTTGATCTGCTAAGACTTCTTCTCAATATCAATGAGATTAGCCTTTAATTTTCTTCTTTGTGATGCCTTTATCTAATTTTTACAATCAATCCTATAGCTTTAAGAATAAATTAAGAAGATTTCTATCTTTCTCCAGGTTCTGAAAGAGTTTACAACGTGATGATTATGTGTTCCTCGAAAGTATGTTCTGCATTTTAAAAGAAGCACCCTGGGTGATCTCAGATGTAGGTAGGCTATGAATTCACTTTAAAATCAACTGACCTGCATGGGGAGAAATGCCAGATATAAGTGAAGGGGAGGAAGGCAGCAAATCACACTGCCATATGTGTACCTATGCAACAATTTTGCATTTCTTCACATGTACCCCAAAACCGAAAATGCAATTAAAAAAAAAAAAAAACTTGAAAAAAAAATCAACTGACCTGAAAAAATTCTCCCACTTGTACAATAAGGCATTTTGTTGTTGTATTGTTTATAAAAGTGAAAAATTTGGTCGGGGGGGGATTTGTTGTATTTGGGGAAGTGTTGTATATTTTAGGAGGTTAAGTGTTCATCAGTAAGATGATAATTCAATAAATTATACCACATTCCTACTCTGGAAAACTATACAGTCATTTAAAAGGATGAAGTAGATTTGTCATTACTGACAAGATAGTATCTTGAAGATATACTTAACTTTTCTGAAAGTCACATATGAATACTTAGAACATATGTTTTTCATTGCTGAATTAAGGAACACCTTAGTATGGCATATAAGAGTTCTAGAGTCAAACTATTCGGTCCAAATATTGTTCTTCTACCAATCAGTTTTATGACCTCTATTTCTCAGCTTCCTGGATACCTGATAAAGACACATGGTAATAGTGACTCACAAGGTGTTATGAGGATTCCAAAGTGAATTCATTCAAAATGCTAAGGAAAGAAATTGATATGCAGTAAAATACTCAATGCATTAATGTTTTTAAAGTTATACATTATATAAAAAAATACACACATTAAAAAAAAATGCAATCTCAACTGGGAACAGCAGTTATCCAGGGGAGGGCAAAAAGAAAGGGCTAAATGGTTCTTGGATATTTGCTTTGTATATCTTTATATTGATTATTATGAACAGAAAAAAAATTATGTATTATGTTTAAAACTTTTTAAAGTACAAAGTTACAGAAGGCTAATACTAATTGTAAAGATGTCAGATAGAGATATAGAATTAGATGTCTAAGACAAGCAAGGTAATCATTGAACCTTCATTCAAGTACAAAGCATCATGGAGGCCAGTATGGAGAGAGCAGCAGGAATGAGACACACCTAAATTTACATCTTGCTCAGCCACTTTCTAGCTGTGGGACCCAGGGAATATTACTTATCCTGTAATATAGGGTTTTTCAAAAGTGTGGTCCACAGAAACTCTACTTCAGTACCACTTGCAGATTTGGTTCAAAATATAGATTACTAGTAATTTTAAAACATTTTCATTTATTTTTATCCATGCTAAAGTTTAAGAAACAAAATAACGTTAAGAAACCAAAATAAAAGACAATAAAAATTCCCACTCTCTGAACTGAATGGATCCTCCTCCCCACCAAGGGGTTTCCAAAGAAACCTGAAAAACTAGCTCAGGCCATGATGGGAAGGAGTGGTCATTACACATGCCTCATTATACTTTCCTCCCTTCGGAATTTAGGTACAACTGATGAGCATTAACATTAAAACCAAGATATTAGCATGGACAAACAGACGATTTGGGAGCAATAAGATACTAAATTCCAACCTGACTCTAGTATAGCATCACATGACAGATAGCAGGTCCTGAAAGTACCAAAGTATTTTACCCCAAAATATATTTGTTTGTCATATTTTAAAATGGGTATATAAAGCTGTCTCTTATGGGGGAAATTTGCATTCTGTAGAGAATCCTATTCCATTTCCAGATCTTTTTCAGATCCTGGAGAGATTAGCTGAGAGTCTAACAACTTTTAAATGTCTAAATAGGAAATATTTGCCATCTATTGCCTCTAAGGGTAGTCACCTGTAAGACTTCATCTTCATAATAAGAACCTTGGTCTCCACAACATCTTACTTTAACCCAGACACTCCTTCTATTAATTCCACATTTTTAGATAATAATTTAACTCTTTCAACCAAGTGCCAATTAGGAAATCTTTGAATCCACCTATGACCTGTAAGTCTCTTCCCCGCTTCAAGTTGTCCCACCTTTCCAGACCAAACCAATTATACCTCACATGTATTCATTGATGTCTTATGTCTCCCTAACACATAAAAACCAAGCTGTAACCCGACCACCTTGGGCAGATGTTTTCAGGACCTCCTGAGGCTGTGTGACAGGACATGGTCCTAACATTTAGCTCAAAATAAACCTCCAAATATTTTGCAGAGTTTGGCTTTTTGTCATCAAAACTGCTGTCAATCTTGATTTCTTAGTGTGTAAAACATGGTGCCAATGTCACACCGTATTCACAAAGCTTTGGTGAGATAAATATTTAATGCCATGCCTGGAACATTAAAAAATTGAACTCACGTTATAACAATGAGTATATTGTTGCTGGTACTACCACTGTTATCACCATACTCTATAATGGCTGTTCCTATTTTTAAATGAAGGATCTGATGTTTCCTCAATATGCCATAGCCTTCGAAGGCCTTATATTTATATACTTATTCCTTTTTCTGGCTCAAAAAATAAATAAATAAATGTGAATATCTCTTCTGTTTCCTACATTATTTTTTACTGGTAATATTTTATAGATTTTAACTTCTGACCACTATTATTCTGATTTTAACTTCTGACCATTACTATTCAAGTAACCTGGGATCTTGAAAAGGCAAGTGCAGTGCTTGGAACTGAAATTGTGGTATAGTCCTTATTAATGCACTGTGATTTGGGCTTGACTGTGATAGGAGATTGTAGAAATAGAATAGAAAAGGAAAAGATACTGGAATAGTAGAGCTTATAAGAATTGTGGTTAAAGTTTTCCTCTCTGGGTGAGGCTTACACTAAGCATGTGGTGGCAAAAACTATGTTATTAATAAAATCTTCTATTTTCTAAGAACCAACCAGCCTTTCCCTTCTCTTTGTTACCTGAAAAACCTAGGCATAAAGCTGCATAAGTCTTTAGTCCTGGTTCTCCATTTCCTTTGGGGGAAAAAAAGTCCACATTTCTCACACAGCTTTGGGGAAAAGACTCATAACCATACTTAATGTATAAAAGCTGTGATTTCCATGCAAACTGCTGCTTTCCCAGAAAAAACATAAAAGCCCCCTTTAGCAGTTTAAAATCCGTTAACTATTTCCTTCCTGTTCCACTTGAACTAGGGGCCAGCTTGCCCTGCCTAAAGCCTTCCCTTGGTGGCTTTCAGATGAATAAGTTAATTTAAAAAGTGTTAGAAACATTTTTAATTTATTCAGACTTGCAAGATATCATTAAGTGCCAGGTACATACACTAGGAGCCAAGAAGAGTTACTCTATAATTCTCTCACAGTCACAGATTATTTCCTCACCATACTGGGATTTAGACCTAGCACTGCAAACAGCAAAACTTGGGCTTCCTCACAGTAGCCAATGTCATAGCTCTAAGCCTGCATCAATGTTTACTCATTTGCACTCTTTTATAGTTTCACCAAAAAAGAAAACCAACAAAAACAGGTGCATCCACACTATACAAATAAGAAAAGGTAACCTCTGAAACCATTTCACAGAAAACAGAAGATCCACAAGCTGCTCGCTTGCTAAAACTGCAGGAGGTGTGTCAGGCACCTCGTGCTGAGCCACAGGAGGCCTGCAGGCTGGGAAGGCAGTAAATCCCCAGAGAGCTCTAAATTCCTGATTGGCAAGCCATGCCAGGCCCATCAGCTCCTCAGGTGCTGAGCCACAGGAGGCCCATCAACTGCTCAGGTGGAAGGTGCAGGAGGAGGGAGGAGGCAAGCTGTGTGGAGGAGCTTGAATGAAAGGCCACTGGCTCACCAGGGGAGATGGGAAATGAGAGGTGCCTACTGGGAATACTAGAGTTCAGAGAACTCCATCAAGGAAAGGAATGAACCCACCCCCTCCTTACATAGCGCATCTTCTTACCTGCAGGGTAGCACATCTTACAGAGAGTACATTTCTGGCCCAGGGATTCTAAACAAATAAATGCTGATAGAATGATTCCCAGACTGGGTTCTGCAGCCGATCACCAGGACTTCTAGAGAAAATCAGCAGCTCCTTGTCAGTTGCTAAGGTTCTTAGGGAATGGCCACCCTCTTTCCCTCCCTTGTTTGCCAAGATTCTGAGTATGACAGTGACACAGTGACATCTCCCCCTTTAGTTTCCAAAATCCCTGGAAATACTTTAATAGGGACTGACTTGTTAGTGCTTGCTTCTCACTCATTTATTTAGCATTTGTCGAGTTCTGCTATATGCCAAATCCTCTGGTTTGCATTAGAGATATAAACAGTCAAATAAGACATAACCTCTGTTCTCAAGGCAACATAAAAGTAAGTAATAATTACAGAATAAGGGTACATGACAGAAATATATCCAAGGTGTTATAGGAACCCAAGGGAAGGAGAATTACATCAAACAAGGATTCAGGGACACTTTCTAGAAGAGGTGACACCAAGTTGACTGTTAAAGGACAAAAAGAAATAAGCTGAAAATGAGGTTTAGGGTGGGGAGGGAGAGAACAAAAGAAAGGAGAAGTAGAAAAAGTCACAGGTAATAACAAGAGCAAGTAAAAAAAAGCGGAAAAAGAAATAGTCGATTCCATCGGAGAACAGTGAGTAGGTAAGTGTAACTGGACAACTAAGCATGCAGGAGAACAGCGGACAATGAGGCCAGATCACAAAGGACTCTGCAGTCCAAACAAATACGTTTGAAATTGACTCTGAAAGCTTCAGAAAGCCCCCCAAACATCATGCAACATCGATATCCAAGACCAAGACCTCAGAAAATATCGAAGCCTGCTGATTTTGAAAGTTAGGTTTCTCAGGTTTCTAGAAAAGTTAACATATTTCCAACAAAATAAGAAAAAAAAAATTACTTCAAATTCATAGTCTAGCCTTAGCTCTGGTTCCTGAAGCAAAATTTCTCACTTTATATTTTGCCAGTTGGTTTTTAAATCTTATATAAAACCATATGTATATATATGTATATATATGATAAAGTATACTATACACAGCACCCATTTGACTACATGTATCTTTAAAAGCAGATGCTTGCTATAGTAAATAAATACTAATATGATATTAAAACTCAAGTAAATGCCAAACATTCCTTTTCTGGAAGGGTAAAATTTTAGCCATATCTTCCCAATATGATTTACTTCCTCATAAATATATTGATAAACTGCTAATTACACATATGTGCTGCAATACTAATGTAATAAATATTATCTACATAATAAAACATACAAAAAAGAAAATTTTCAAGGAATAGAATAAAAATAAGGAAAAATAAAAGTTTTGATATTTTCAATTTTGAAAGATGGCTCTTTACTGAGTCATCTTTCAAACCCATGTTGAAAGCCCCCTGTTTACTTAGACAGCTAAGACAGGTCTACACCCCCACGCATCTGTGTTCTGTGCATTTGCATGTAGATGTCACTACACTTTCGCTAAACCAAATCAACTAAAGGAAGAGGAACAGAGATAAGGAGAGTCATCAAGGACCGGACCGTGGTGAGGTAACACACCTGTGGTGGGCTGTGTAGCCGATAAGAGGCTGAGGCAGTAGAGCTAGATGGGAGATTGCACCTGTTAAATCAAGTTCCCTAAAGCTGCCTTCTTACGTATTTTAAGTCTGGCTTAAAGGCTTCTCTGCACATACTGAATTGTAACCTAACTGGTTATATAAACAGACTGTAACCTACTCTTGTGCCAATCACCAAGTTTCAGCCAATCAAAGGCAGCCAACTGATCAAACCGTGTTCAAATAAGGCAAATGCTAAGCTGTAACCAATCTGGCCATTTCTGTACCTCATTCCTGTTTTCTATATATCACTTTCTTTTTTTCTGTCCATAAATCTTCCACCACATGGCTGCACGAGACTCTCTCTGAGCCTACTGTGGCTCAGGAGGCTGCCCGATTTGCAAATGGTTTTTTGCTCAATTAAACTCTGCTAAATTTAATTTGTCTAAGGTTTTACTTTTAAAACACCCTTCCCTCAGCTCCCTGGGGCCAATGTGAGGGTGAAGGAAAATACAAATTATGAACCAAGCTCTTGATCCTCTTTGTCGTACATGAAATGCAACCTGGGGTGAATGAAAGCAGGGATAGAGGCAAGACATTTTATCTGAGGAACAAGAGAGAGTCAGGGAGCTTCCAGGATAGCCTCGGCCTCAGAAGTTCTTTCCCATATTACCAGAATTCTGGGATCTTAGAGACAGAGTTTTGTTTTTTGGTTTTGTTTGTTGTTTGTTTGAAGGGTTGATTTTCCCAATTTTCTTTAGGAGGATTTAGAAGTCAGCAATTTGGGAACCATTCTATCTAAGGTATGTGCCTCTATTTCCTCACTAGAGATGATCTTGCTAAAAAACCTAAAATGCAATAAAATAAATAAATGGGGAGAAAAAAAAATTTAACCCTATTCACAAAATTTGTGCCATCATAGGAGCATACCCACTTCCCTTTTCCATGGATTTAGTAAGAAAAAGATGCCCTTGTGGTGAGGATTGGAATTATCAATACCTCAACCTATGGGAGGAAACTCTGCTCCAGATATTCATCTCCCTACATTTCTCAAAAAGAAGGAGCTGCCATACACTACTTCCTACCCTATGAAATACTGAGGGGAGAGGGAAGGGGCCTGGTGTATCAATTTCAGAGTTTTGATTCAGGACTACAGCTATGTCCCCAGAGCAGGCACCCCAAGGCATTCAGCCTCACTATGCCAACAGCAATCATTCCTGTTGATCCATCACATGTTCACCAACTATGCCATCAATATGAACAGATGATAGCAGCTGGGATTTAATTGGCATTCCATTCAATCCACCATGCCTCTATCCATGCATTCACTTACTTGCTCACTCCTCTAACAAATATACAAAGAACTTCAACTCTTCTGGAACTTCCCTGGAGACGGAATACAAAGATGAGAAGGCCCCATTGGTGCCAATAATATGCTGGAAGACAGCAGAGAAGTACCTGCCATTTGCTCTGTTGACCACAGCCCAGCCAGCCTGGGCTCAGTGCAGAACATTCACCACCTCCAAGCGTGGGCTTTACAGACACTGTCTCTCCACACACTACCGCTGCCTGAAAAATACAGTCAGATGGGTTGTCTGTCATTAAGCCAGACAAAAACCCAGCACAATCTAGGTAAGAGCAATGTTTTTTATCCAGACACTAAATTGCAATCAGGTGACGTTATCATGTAAATAAAGAGGCAAACAGATGGTTTCAAACGAGATCCAGGGCTTACAGAGCATTGCTGATGTTACAAATGAAGAAAAGCGAGGACAGGCCATTAGACACAGAGCAGGCCCTGGAGTGCACAGCAGCCCAACAAACAGAACACTGGCCCAGATAATACAGCCAAAACAAAAGGGAGTCACTTACTGCTTACAATTGTTTGTTAATCAAATACCACTAATTTCCAAATCTGGGGATATGCCTCTAGGAAACATATATTCATATTTTTTCCCTAAAATATACTTTGCAATGGTGTCATCTGTGTATACCACCATGATCCTTAATAACACAGCTTTTGAAAGGCTCTATTTTAATTCCTCCCATATGTTTAAATAGGAACAGTGTAATGAACTAGACAGACTCAAGAATCCAGAGGCCTAGATTTGACTCTACTGTCTCTGTGATCTCTGAGCTCTTTCTTGGGCATGCCCTCTTGGGGTCACTTCCATCAACTGTAAAATGTGAAAAAACATAATGTGGCAGAGGCCATTAGCTGCTTCCCGGTATTTATTCTATCCTTCCTTAGTAATAAGAACTCCAATGTTTAGCTGAATAGATTGTCACCTAGCCAAAAGACGACATTTCCCACCTTCCCCTCCAGGTAGAAGTGACCATTTGGCTAAGTTTACACCATTAAGATGTAAACAAAAGTGTCATGCGAGATGTATAAGCAGAATCCTTTCTCCTTTCCGCTTCTTGGAATGTGGCTGCAATGGCTGGTGCTCCAGCATATTGCTGGACCACACAGTGACTTTGGAAATAGAAAAAAACACTGAAGGACAAAAAAGTAGAAGGCATCCAAGTCTGTGACACCATGGAACAGATTTTTATGTAAGAGAGATATAAATTTATGTAACTATCAACTTTATACCATAATAATAATTTTAATAAAAATAATAATTTTCAGCTTATTATTCACAGAAGACTTAATCTTCCTAATACCTGGATACCTAAGCCCCTAATTCCTAATATCTGGATATTGAAATGCACAGAATGGTGTGAGTGCTAAGTTAGGTGTGAGAACTCTTTGTACTCCAAGTGTTTCCCTGAAATCTCAACATGATAAGCTGCTCTGTGAATAGAAGTGTTACATGATCAAACATGCTTGAGAACAGCTCATACTATATCCCCCCTGAAAGTTATACAACTCACACTGTCATATAAAAGGCTTTGAAAAGACCAGAAATAAGAAAACAATATTTATCTGTGCTTAGTCCAAAATTTTCCAAATTTGTTTGACTTATATTTTTTTCCACGTGATGCTTATAAGGAGCTAGTTTCAGGGGAAACACTTTGAGAAATTCTGGGTGTCTTATTAGTAATAGCTAATACCTAAATGGTTGCTTTTAGCCTTCAAATATGAATTATAATTGAATTTACTTCTATGCCAGTCCAGGTCCAGGCCCTACGGTACATGCTTTCATCACTCTCTTAATGTTTCCTGTAACATATTTGTTAGTCGTATTCATTTTCAACTACAGGCAATTACATTTCTATCTCCCCCACTAGGCAGTAACTTTCAGGTGGGTCTTGGAACTGCTTTGCTCATCATTTTATCTCCAACATGAGGCAAGGTGACACATAATAAGTTATGCACCCAGTAAACAGTTGCTCAATAAATGCATGATTTCTGAACTCTGTTTTCACATCACACATTATGCAGAGAGCAGTATAGAGTGCTTTTACAAACCTCTCCTTGTTTTCACTCACCTGAGAAACACACTCATTGTCATGGTCCATTAGCATTAGCATCATGGATCACAGTAACTTTCTAGGAGGGGCACATGACCCCAGGATGTAAAGATCATGGGGTAGAGGTCATTGACAAGCATGATGGAATATATGTAAATCAATTTTGGCTTTGAAGAGGGGTTTTCATCTCTTTTAGCTCTCTTGAATAGCATTGGGACCATTAGCTCCTCCAGCACTTATGTATATACTCTAAATGGGCTGAACAATAGAATGTCCCTTCTAATTAATCATTATTTAGTACACATAAGAAATCCTGAGTAACACTGACCTAAAAATAAAATAGGACATTTTTAACGTGCTTGCAGGCAAAGGAAAGAAAATTTCAGAATTCTCAGCAAGACCCACTATTGGGCTCAACTTGTCTGGACATCAAGATAGATCACTTACATAGTTGGAAGCTGAGACTGGCTACTGGCTATAGCTTATCTCCATCTAGGGCTGCCAAGCAGTGCTACAAAAGTGGCCTTTCCATGTGATTTGGGTTCCCATAGCCTAAGGGCCATATTCCAAAGGCAATAGCCCAATAGCAAATGCGACGTCTAGGCAAAAGGATCATCTAATGCAAGGGTTCTTGTGACCTAGCCTTCAAATCCCAGAACATTATTCTATTAATACAGTCTATCAGTCCAGCTAGTCACAAAGGCCAGCCCAGATTCAAGGGGAGAGCAGTGACCCCCATGTCTCCACATAAGGAGCAGAAAGCATTTACAGCAAGGGACAAAATTTATGGCAGCCCTTTTTGGAAAATTTCTGCAATAATGACACTGAAATTATGATACGTATTAGAGCCAGTGCTAGGTACTGTTACTCAGTCTTCTAACAGAGAAGCATATTATATCACTTTTTATTTTAATATTTTGATAGCCATATCAATCTAACTGATTTATTTTATAATTCCACTTTAGTTTATGTATCAAAAAATTATTCAGAGAATGAGTCTAGGCTTTACCAGACTGCCAAAGGAATCTAGGACACACAAAATGTTAACAACCTTTGAGCTGCTTAATAGTGTGGTAACCCGAGGGTCAGTAATAAGCCAGCTATGCTATTCCTGCCCCTCCTGGCCTGCCTGGACCTATAAAAGACCCTGTCACTTTGGCAAACTTCTTATCTCCAAACCTCTGCACATGAGGAGACTCCAAAAGCTCCCTCAAGGGAGTATAATCAACTCAAGAAATAGCAACTGTACCTAAACCAATGATTGGGAAATCATGAATTATTTAATTTTACATTCCAAAAATATCTGCATGGAAAACAGACCATAAAGAGAAAAAGAAGTAATTCAATTAGAACAAGTGAAAAAAAGCCCTGCTCTGCATTAAAAACTCCCATGGGCAGCTGTTCCTTGCTTGGCTTGTACTTCCCAATCCCAACCAAGGGGGGTAAAATACATATGTAATCACTCAGGTCCCCTTTTTTGTAAGAAATGCCTGTGTAAGACTCCTTAAAGAATATTAATTCCATGAGACAAAGTTCTTGGGGCAATAAAACTAGGTAAAAATATGTTTATGCATTTAAATCAGGGGAAATTTTCATTAACCCTCAGCAAACTTGTTGCAGTGCAAATCATAGAATATGGGGTTGGTACAAATTTTAACGGTGATTTCTTAGTAGGGTGACCCACTCATTCTGGCTTGCCTCAGACTTTCCAGGTTTTACCACTAAAAGTCCTATGTCCCAGGAAACCCTCAGTCCTGGATAAACCAGAGTAGCAGGTCGTTCTCTTTACCAATCATTAGTTCCTGATATCAATGCCCCCAAATAAATATTAAAACCTATGGATGCCACTGTCAGTATTACTGAACTGAAAAGAATTAACCAATGAGCTCTGATAGAGTAATGTTGCCTGTTTTAAATACTGTGGACTTCAATTCTTACCTCCAGAATTGTAAGAGTTATACATTCTAAGAGTTATACACAATCCCCTAAATTTTAAAATGAAATACATATTGTATTGCATTATGTTTTTGTAATACTCTACCTTTAAGAAATGACAGTGATTTCTTTCTCTTTCTTTCTTCATTTCTTTTTCTTTCTTCCTTCCTCCCCCCCCCCCTTTTTTTTTTTTTTTTTTGTGATGGAGTCTCTGTCACCCAGGCTGGAGTGCAGTGGTATGATCTCAACTCACTGCAACCTCCGCCTCCCGGGTTCAAGAGATTCTCATACCTCAGCCTCCTGAGTAGCTGGGATTACAGGCACATGCCACCATGCCCAGCTAATTTTTGTATTTTTAATAGAGATGGGGTTTCACCATGTTTACCAGGCTGGTCTCAAACTCCTGACCTCAAGTGATCCACCTGCCTCGGCCTCCCAAAGTGCTGGGATTACAGGCATGAGCCACCACACCTGGCTGACAGTGATTTCTTAAATGACATAACCTATTCTATTTTCCAAATCAAGCTGATAGAGCGATCCACATTAACCAGTTTGGTGGGACTGAACCTATTACCTTAGCCTATTAATTTAGAACACTTGGCAGTATTGTCACCAGAAAGTGACCAGGGACAACCTGGCTGCCACCTTAAAAGTCTGCTCACTGGGAGTAATTGCTTTTAATTTTAACAAAGATATGGGTATGCTTAAAGACATTGATCCAATCCAGATGTATGAAACTATAAAGCAAGCAAGAGATGTTACATTAGATTTTGCACTGATTAGTGGGAGTCTGCACAGAGGATATAGTTTATCCTCAAGCAATTTCCAAATTAGCATCCTCCCTGTACTCCTTGGAACATTTACTGTTAACCACCTCCATCATCTTGGTATTGCTCCTTTTTCGCTTGCCTTGCCTTCTGCTGTCCTGCTTCTGATTTCATGACTACTCCTTCTCTGATATCTCTTCCTGCCACTTAAACTAGCATTCCCCCTAAGATGCTGACTTCCACCTGCTCCTTGTATCTCTCTGGAATAGTTCTCATGTGGGTCCTAGCCCTCATTCATTCCTCAAGGCTTTCTTAGTCAATTCTGAGGATTACCAAATCGCAATCCAGATTCTCAGTTGGCCTTCCTTTCAGTTTTCTGGTCCACATTTCCTGTTACCATCTAGGCATCTGCATATGAACCTGGGCACAGGTCTATGATGGAATTTATTAACCTCCCTATTGAACCTACACCTTTACCTGAACCTTCTATTTCTATTGATGTCAGCCCTAGCCATTCACCTGTATGCAAAAGTTTTGGTCATCTTCTCAGCCTCATTTTTCTTTATTTTTTACAACTGATAAACTGCTAAGCCCTAACAATTCTGCTTTCCCATCAAGTTTATGATACATATTATATTTTTCCATGGCAGCCAGCATTGCATTTACTGCTACTATATCGCTTGTAATTTGTATTGGACAAAGTATACTTAAAATCCCAGGGAAAGTGATGCATAGTTTCTTTAAGAAATAGTTGTAAACTGCAGCTGAAAGTTTGTACAGGTTACTTTAGAGAATGAAGAGTTGCTCTAGTAGCAAAAAAAAAAAAAGAAAAAAAAAAAAATTAAAGAAAAACACCTATTGCAACTGAAGGAAAGCCTCATAGGTGTTTTACAGGAATACCTGCTAGAATCCTCTCAGGCTATGACACAAGGTGCCCAATAAAGTCACACCTCTGGGAGACTGAGTTGGAGTATTTAAAGTCATAAAAGTACTTATTCTCTAGGTGGGAGTAGGCACCAAAATAAAACCCCAGTCTCTTATATACTTCATACTTGCCAATTACCCCCACCCCATGATCTTTACATCCCAGTGACGTGTGCCCCTCCTAGAAAATCACTATGATCCATGATGCTAACACTAATGGACCATGACAATGAGTGTATTTCTCAGGTGAGTGAAAACAAGGAGAGGTTTGTAAAATCACTCTATTACAGTAAAACTCGAATTAGTTCCAGCAAGTTAGCAAGCCATAAAGAGTGTCAGGGCCTATATGACTTTGGATCCCAAGAGACAATCTTAAGTGAATTCTAATTAGCCCAGAAACAAATGCCATGACTGAATCAAGCAGAGATGGACAAATTGAGATTAGAAAGAGTCCCAACCCATTTCAATATATTTATAAGTTTTATGTTTCTTTTGTCATAGGAAAGAAATGTACTGTTATTTTAATCAAAATTTCATTTTCATACTGAAAAACATGCATAGGTAAAGAAAAAATTCTTATTAATTCCAACTCCTAATTGTCCACCCTGGCAAAAGCACTGTGTCACAGGTCTTGGTCAGAAAGTTTAGGGGACTGTTGCTGTTCATTTGGGAGAATCCATTTGAATCCTAGTCATTGCAACTATAAGGAACTCCCTAGCCTCCAAATGTTTTGTCTCAAAATTCAATCCAATTTTAGGAACAAAATAAATAAAGCAATAGTATTTCCTCTAATTAATTTTAGGGGACAATTTAAAACACTAAGTTGAAGCATGGGGACTAGGATTCCACTCAGCTTTGGTATAAAATATCGTGTAAGTTTAGTCAATGATATTAATATATTTCATAGCATTTTATAAAACACTTGCATTATCCTGGCTCATTTTAATTGGATTACAAAGCCACTACATTTCCCACCAGCTCAACAATTGTATGTGTTTATAATGTACATATATATTAATATTTATAAGTAAATCCACCTCAAAATAAAACAAATTCCTAGGTAATCAGTTCATTAAGGAACTCCATATAGCAAAGCATCTTGTACTTAGACTGCTTTAAATTGTAAGTTTCTATAGTCTATTTTTAAATGATTTGATATATGGAAAGTTCATTTACATTCAGCATTTCAAAAATAAACTGCTTGGGGATGTTGGTGAGAACACCTGCTCCAGGGAGTCTGAAATCCTTGTTCTTCTTCTTGTGATAAGGACATGACTTTAACATCCTTCAAGTAAAGTTTACTAAGGTCTATGATTCCCTCTAAAACAATGCCTAAAAGGAAGGAGAAATAGTTTCTAAAGATCTTTTCATCTTTGGCTTCAGATTTTTCTGTTTGTTTTTATTTGAAAATAATGTTGATTAAAGTCTCTAGGTCAAAAGTAATATAAAGAACCACTTATCCGTTAACCTTCCAAACAAAGTCAAAGGAAAGTTCAACTGTTATCTCCCTGGATCTTTAATGTCTACCCTGAAAGAAAATGCTCAAAATATGTTTCCTCCATGTTTTCCCTCATCCCACCACATTCCTCTCTCCTAAGAAGAGGCTCTGGTCACACATGTAAAGATTTGACCACAAGTTTCAGCCCAACAACTATCGTCCATTCCCATTGCAAAGTGAGCAATTCAAAATCAGGGGCCCAATTATGTTTTGAGAGTTGACAAATACCACTTTCAGGCAAAGAGGTGGTGTAATTAACACTAAGCATCATAGGTAAAAATAAAGAAACTAAAACCCTTTGAACAGTTTGTCTCCTGGTGTTCTGTAATTTCTGATTCATGCAAGCCAACATAATCTAAACAAAGTCTGCCCAGACAGGGAAGACAGCACAAATTTAGCAGGCTCTAAAGCACCTTTTGAATTAAGTCAGGTACATCTGCTTTTAATTACATACATGCATATAAACTTACACACATAAATACATGCATAGAGGTAGATTAAAGACAGCCGCAAATCCTTAGCTATTCTTCCCTTTGAGAGGTGGAACCTAATTTTCCTCTCCTAAATCTAGGCTGAACTCAGGACCTTTCTTGACCAAGGAATTTATGGCCATGATATTCTGAGCTTGCCAGACCAACTCAGAAGGCATGTGGCTTCCACGCCGTTCCTTGGACCACTTACTTTTGGAACACCCTTTCTTAGGTTACTCTTTCTTGGAATCTAGCCATCATGCTGTGAGGAAGCCCAAGCAGCCCCACAAATAAACCTGTGAGGAGAGAAACTGAGGCCTCTTAGTTAATTGCCCTGAGCTCCCAGCTAATAACCAGCATCAAGCCCCAGCTGTATGAGTGAGCCATCTTAAAGGCATCTAAAGGCAGTCAAAGTGAGCCTTTCAATGACCACAGTCCAGCCACTATCTAACTACAATGCATGGAAGAACCCAAATTAGAACACCTTGGCTTTGCCCTTCCCCACAAAACTGTAAGCAAAGTAAAATGTGTTTTTTATGCTGTTAGGTTTCTGGGTGGTTTTCCAGATAATGATAGAGTTTCAGAACACTCACTCCACTTGTCACCATTCTGATGCCACACATCACAAAAAGGACTCCAGTAATTCAAGTCTAAGTTTCTTCCCCTCTGACTTGCTAATCCAGAATAAGTGGAGTGGTGGTCTTTAGTGCTTTTCTGTCCCATCCAGATGGTACAAGACCAAATTAGAGAACTACACAAGCTACAGAAATATACCAATATTTGCTTGGTTTCTAATTGGTGTTGTAGACCTACATCTCTGCTATAATTCAGTATATAATACTGAATTACATATAATCTCAGATAAGAAAAAGGCAAATGAAGTCAATAGATCTATAATCACAGCATTTTATAGAAGTTCCTCCCCTCAAAAATTACTTTCTGATTTATGATTATCTTGCTTCGTATCACCAACCTATTATGATGTCTTGCAATTTAACCAGGCAATGCATTAAATATTGCCATCTTTGAACACCACATGACTTTGATAAGCCTCTCTGCTATTTAAGGTACTGAATATTAAAAATCAGAACAAACAGAAGAACTATTATCAAAGAAAAACAGTACTCTCCCATTCATGTATTCAAATAAGGACAGTTCAAAGTAATATAGAAAATGTAACAGTGAATTCTACCATGCACACACATACATACACACACACACACACACACACACACACACAGATGCTAGAGGCTACATGATATCACATCTGTACCATTCGAAACAGAGTCCTGAGAAAGCACTGGAGGCATCTTACACAAATCCACTCGGGTCAGTTTAGGACAAGCCAGAGAGCAGAAACTAGAGGGATCCTTTCACCATTTGACCAGCTATTCTTTATGAAGATTTGAGATTTTCCTAGTAAGGCAGAGCTTGTTTCTACTATTTAAGAAATAGAGAATGCATTCAGGACAATTCTTCCAATATTTAGAGAGCAAAGACAGTCA